TAAAGTGCCAGATATATCACATTTTCTTTAATTATTATTATTGTTGTTATTTACAGAATCATAAGCTATATTTCTTACAAATGATTTCATATTCAGGATATGCTTTGTATTTCACTCATTAAATGCTGTCATTACAGGCTAAACGAAACCTTTATTTTTCATACAGATAAGGGCAAGACATAATTTTAAACTTTAAATGGTTTACAATAATTTGTGTATAATACTCTACTGGAAACATTACATTGTGCCTTTTACAAATTAAATGCTAGATAAAAAAAAAAACGATTATACTACAAGTGCATGTAAAGGCTTTGTGTATATGTATATTCTCATATAAGGCTGTCATTGATATTAATTTAACTAGTTTTATAGCTTGATGGTTAATGGCATTTTGCATCAGCAGGATCTGACTATGGCATATAGAATAGAACACACTCTCACGCGTTTAGTTTTTACATTTTGGAAGGATAAAAATTGACATGTAGTTTAAAAAACCTGTCTAGTTTCATCTGGAATATATCCCACACCACCTCCTGAAGGAGTTTGAGAAATCGGATTTATATCCATCTCGAATGCATTTCAGAAGGCATTTATACCTGTCTTTTTTTACAATCAGATTCAAAATAAAATCATGAAGTGACCAGGTGTAAACAGCCCTAATTATGTACAATATTAGATGATTGGGTTATCATATATATAGGATTTAACATTATGAAGTCAAAAAATATGCATGGATAAATCGTTAATTAGTTTTACTTTAGCATTTACTATAAAAATAGTTGGATAGAGGTGGATGTCAAAGTGAACATGTTTTATTGACCTTATTCTCCGCAGACGAGCGGGCACTTTCATTTGAATCTTTTTGGCACGAGACTTCCGCTCTCATTCACTTCCATTCATTTTTAGACATTAAAAACTACTCGTTTCGCTGTTTGATGTTGCAAACTGATATTTCCTTGTTATATTATTCTACTTGGTCTGTATAGTCATGCAAACATTTGTTTGTAGAGCAAGTAGTTTGACCGTTTTTTGCCGTTTATAATTTCTTGTCATTTCTCCCATAAGCGACTGAAACGGAAGTTCTAAGACAATCGCGAACACAGGCGCACTTCCGCATTTTAGAATAAGGTCAATAGGATCCATTTAATGCCACTGTGTTGAATAAGTCGGTGTTTATGTTTGCTTCACAGAGATGCCATTGTTAGGACTTCAAAGAAGACACAAGCAATCATTTTTGCCCTCTGTCTTCTTTTCATCATTGGCAAAGGCGTGATGTGATCTCTAATAAAATGCTCAGTCTCTGCTCCATAGCCTCACATGTCTGTATTGAGTGCACTGAGGGTTTTCCTACACACACTGCTCTCCAGAACAATTCATTTAAAGCTTTGTGTAGGAGATGCCCTTCTCTGCTGATCATAAGCCAACTCCCTGAACCTGAACCCAGACTATTATGAGGGAAAAACCACAAGAGCAGATGATGTCAGCCTGAAAGAGCCATTTTATTTCCTTTGTCCTCAGCTTCTGCTTTTACCCTGAGTACTGGCAGGTCTAGTAATGACAATAAACAGGGAGGCTGACATGCACCTGTAACCTCAAACATATAATGTATGCAGTTTCCTAAAGCCGATGTTTAAGGTATTTTGCCTTTTGATTGTTTTTAGCTAGCATTAATGACTTTTGGATTCTCACAGAGAGATTATTAATTTTTTTAGATCATACAATTTAAGGAATTGTGCTGATGAAAAAATGTGTTGTGTTTTTTGGAATGCAATAGTCGTCACATGCAAAAACACACAATATGTAGTTTCAGCATGACATCATGATGTGTGTTCTGCAGTATTTTTATTGCAGAATGATTTCCATTAGGGATCATAGTAATTGAGCAGGAACCACAGTATGGAACGCATGTGATTTGTGGATTAATTAAAAAAAAATTATACTAAAAAGAGTGAAAATGTAATGTTTTTTAACACTGTTTACTGAAACATTTAATGTTTGTGTTAGAAGCAATGACATTTGTAGCTGTGAAGGTTCTGTGAAGTGCTTTGAAATAAGCATTTTTATTCTATGCTTTACGTAAGCTCAACCGAAACACGATGAGAGGGTGGGACAAAGAGTAGCTACTCCCCTTTTTTTTTTTTTTTTTTTTAAACAACCAATAGTGTTTTGTTTTATCACAGCTCTGCCAGTGAGAGTGGTTGAGATCAAGTGCAACAAATGAAAAGCAAATGAGAAACATCTTGAAGGGGGCGGGGCATGTCTGATACTAGAAAGCATTTGATTGGTCAAGGTGTGATAAGAAACTGTAGTGTGATTTGACGTGTGTAAAGTCGTTGATCCATTTGGGCAGAAGTGACAAACTACAAGCTTTACATGTTTATCAGTTTAATATCTCCTAAATGCGAATTTTGTCACTGTTTTTGGGCACACTAGCTTATACTGTAGATATCATAAAAACTAAATGAGACAAAAAAAAATAAAACTATTAAGTTAATTTCAGGGGACTTAAAATAAGAATTAAATGTATACAAAAAATAATGCAATGTTGTTTTAGATTAAATTTCTGAATAAATTCAGAGAACCCAAAAGAAGAAAAAAATGTGTAGTCCGTTTGTAACTCTATTGCATTATATTTATCTGTGATTAAAATGTCATTTATTATATTGTATGCAGAAGCAGTCCCCTACAAAATCACCCAATCTTCCTAAAATACTGAATTATTTCATTATTTTTAATAAATCTGTTCAAGCCATCTGGTGAAATTGTGCTCATATTGCCATTTGTAATCTGGAGAAAACAAAATATTGTCAGACTTTTTCAATATTATGCAGCCATGTTTATAAACATAGTAAATACATTATGAATATTGATAAGTTCTAGAAGGACAAATGCAGTAGAGGAGTAAAATGTGGAAAAGCCTGTGCTTTACCTGGCTGTGTTGAACCTGGTGCAGATGTAACTATATGTAGAAAAAATAAATACACTAGTTTGCGGTCAGTTTTATTTGATTTTTTTTTTCATGTTTTAAAAAAAAATATTATTCTGTTCATAAAGGCGGTATTTATTAAATGTGTTTATAAATAAATGGTTAAATATTTACAAAAAAATTAAATAACTACTTACTGTATTTTCGAATGAAATTATTACTCCAGTCATTATTGCTTTTATTACTATTACAATTAATAATAATAATAATAATAATAATAATAATAATAATTAATATTAGAGTGATTTGTGAAGGATAATGTGACTCTGAGGACTGGAATAATAAAGCTGAACTTTAATCTTTAAAATCACTGGAATAAATGATTAAATTAAATTATGGGTAATTTTATGAAGTCATTTTATAGTGCAATAACAATTCACAATTTTACCATTTGTACTGTATTATTAAGAAAATACAGCCTTGGTGAGCAGGATAAGCTTATTTTAAAACATTTAAAAAACCTACTGTCCCCAAACTTTTGACCGGTAGTGTATGTTTGTGTAGTTTGAAGTCTGATGTTTTGAAAAAATATATGGGATCACTAACTTGATCAATTCTTGGACATTTTCAATAAATGGACAACAAAGGACAATAAAACGTAACAGTTTTTTAGTGGTTCCAAAAAAGTTATAGATGTGGAAAAATATAAATACAATAACTTAACAGGTGCAATTAATAGGCTTAACTTGATCTTGAATGGGGTCCTCCAACTATTTAATGCTTTTGTTGAATTGCAAATTGTACATAGTGTCACACTAGAGGACAAAATGTATCAAGCTCCTATATTTTTAGAAACATATCGATGCCATTTACAAAAATAGCCGCTTGTAATATTAGGCCTTTATTAATGGTTTTATAATTTTCTTTTTAATTTAAAAGAGCTGTAATTTGTTGAATTATTCCTGAGACAGTCATATACAGTTAAAGTCAGAATTATTAGCCCCCCTTTAAATTTATTTTTTATTTTTTTCAAATATTTCCCACATTATGTTAAACAGAGCAAGGAAATTTTAACAGTATGTCTGATAATATTTTCTCTTCTGGAGAAAGTCGGCTAGATTAAAAGCAGCTTTTAATAAAAAATAAAACAAACAATTTAAGGTCAAAATTATTAGCCAGTTTAAGCTATACTTATTTTCATATAGTCTACAGAACAAGCATCGTTATACAATAACTTGCTTAATTACACTAACCTGCCTAGTTATCCTAGTTTCCTTAGTTATGCTTTTAAATGTCTCTTAAAGCTGTATAGAAATACAATATCTAGTAAAATATTATTTATTGTCATTATGGCAAAGATCAAATAAATCAGTTATTAAAAATGAGTTATTAAAACTATTAAATTTAAAAATGTGTCTGTACGTTAAACAGAAAATGGAGGGGAAAAAATAAACAGGGGGGCTAATAATTCTGACTTCAACTGTATTTATTCATAATTCACTGGGTGAATAATTTCAGCTTGAACTGTGTGTATATAATATCAATGCAATGAAATTAGACCTCATCACTACTTTTATTGTATGCACAAAAACAGAATCCCTCTTCAAAACATCTTTGGTGTTCTTCAGAACAACTAAAGTCGTGCAGATCTGTTTCAACATGAGGGTGAGAGTTTTTGTAGTGCTTCACAAGAGCAAACCTCTTATGACAGGTAATATCACCGGGAAGCTAGCAAGCCTAAAAAAAAGAAACAAAAACATGTGCAAAATCACTTTACCACCTGAGTGGCTTAAAAAAGCTGACATTTACCAACACCCCACTGTCCTCGCTCGGCTCCGTTAGACTTCATTCCAAAACACAATGGGGAAAGGAATAACAGTTGAGTGAGGAATAACAGTTGCAAAAAAGAAATGGTTTCCAATGTAAGCAGCTATTGAACGCACACAGACACGAGAAACAGAGCAAGACTCAGTGTTTGTGTCTTGTCATTCTAGTCAAGGCGATGTTTGAATTCTCTTTATTTTTTCCTCCATTATCTCAGCATTCTCACTGTCTCTTCTATATGTGTCTGCAGGTACGTGGAGCGAAAAAACTTCCTCGAGCGAGTGGACCAGCGCCAGTTTGAGCTGGAGAAAACTGTGCGTCTGAACAATATGAAACGGTGACAAGAGGAGAGAGCAGATACACTCACTGATCAAAACACAGACTGTCACAGAATCACACTGCATACACTCATGCTTTTCAGTATTTTTTCTTAGCTCCTTAGTCCTCTGAAATCTGTCTGAATTCATATTCACATGTACATTTTGTTTATAGACTAGCTTCTTTTTTCGGATTCTACTCTTCCTTTGTCTAAAATTGCATCTCCACATCTATCATGACTTCTTTAATAGCAAAGTCGGCTCAAGGTGTGTGTGTTCTTCAACAAATGTCTCCAAAACATTTTAGAATCCACTGAAATACATCTTATAGTTGACATTTAAAGTGATAGTTCACCTAAAATTGCTTATTCTGTTAACGTTTACTCATCATTCATTCTTCCAATCTCACCTTGCTTCTGTTGAGCACAAAGGAAGACATACTGAAGAATGTTGGGGAAAAAACAGCCATTGACCTCCATTGTGTTGTTGTTCCTACTATGAATGGCAATGGCATGTTTGACATTCTTTTCATTCTTTAGAATATTTTGTTTGGTGTTCAACAGAAGAAAGATATTTATAATAGTATGGAGCCATTTGAGTGTAAGTAAATTAGGAAATGTTTGTTGTTGGATAAATGATCCCTTTAAGGGAATGAAGACATCAAGATCTAAATAAAAATGTTCTTGACTCAGATCAAATGATTTTGTTTTGAAAGTGAGGATTTTTTTTAAATGTTAGCATCCATTTTGGATCTTAAACTGATGCTGACTATATACTTGGGTTGTCATGATACTGGAATTTGGTACCAATCAGTACTGACATTTGGGCACTGTGATTGGCCATGAAGGTCATTAGTTTTTCCAAACTCACAGCTGTTTACTGAGTGTAAACAGATACAGAGACACTGAAGTGTTTCAAAGTCGTGTCGATCAGCTGGTTTGTCTATAAGCTGACATACAAGCGATGAATCATGGCTTTGAAACGCTACAATGTTCAAGTATCTAGACAACCCTATCATATACAGGCATTTAGGGACATTGGTCTTATATTCAGTTGTAAATGAAATGTCCTGGTTGTTGTTTTTTTATGTACACTTGGTACTGTCTTGAGAAATTATTTTGCTAAGAGTTGATATGGTAATTACCCCATCGTCATTTTAATACTGTTTCATTGTCTGACAGGAATAAATCGTGTCATTGGGTATGGACACTTTCTTTTTAAACGAACCGTGTCTTGCTGTTAATTACTTTGACCTAGTAATTAATGGTTCCACCATCTCCCTTAGGGTTGGCTTTCCTCTTCCCCATCCCTGTTCTGGGAGTTCAAGCCCCCCTTTATGACCCATAACGCTCTTTTCTTTTCTTCTTTCCCTTGAAATACCATAGGAAAGGGATCAGCAGGGTTTAAGTCACGTATATCTGAATCACTGTAGTGAATCAAGCATGAATTCTTCCCCTTTTCAAAATGGTAATAATCTGTAAGATCTTTTATACCATTTTACAACAATGAAAATCCTGTAGTTGCAGAATTTCATCATTTGAAGAAATGTGGGCTGCTTAACCACTTTAAAAGGTGTCATGAGTGATTGTTAGTGCATTTCTAAGCAATTTCGAGGGCTTTATGGGTGATTGCTTAACCTCAAAAGTGCATGTTTTAATCCTTATGATGAGCCCATCTTTTGATATGGCTCGGTTTCTTCTTTCGTCAGGTGTCTGTGATATTTTTTTGGTGTGTGTGTGTGTGTGTGTTAAGCTCATCCTTAAGGCAAAATGATAAATCAGATAAGCTCAGAAAATAAATGCACATATCTCTTGTACAATTTGAAGTATCAAGGTAGCATTTACATGTTGATGTTTAAATTGATTTATGAGATAAATCAATACATTTAATCAGCTATTAAACTAAAGTGACAATGATTAAAACAAAATTGTAGGTTTTTACTTAACACGAATGGCTATTTTGAGTTATGGATATATTTATTTAATACCATTAAATTGTACCATGTTTTCTATGTAACACAGCAGTTTCATATTCAAATTTAGTATGCAGCTTAGATGGACATTTGTGAGAGATTTGTATAAAAAGCAATACTAAATACGGTATCCAACACAAAAAGGTTTAATTAAATTCTAATAATAATATGAGTTTACAATAGACAATTTTTCTACAGCATTTAATAAATTTAGTCAGTTAATTTTCAAATATATATATATATATATATATATATATATATATATATATATATATATATATATATATATATATATAATTATTTTTTTTTATAAATATTTTTTAGAATATTTTAATACATTTTCTAATACAGGGTGTTCGCAGGGTCTTAAAAAGTCTTAAATGTCTTAAATTTAATAAATAACAAAGCAATGTATCCCTTTGTGTTATCTTTCATTCATACAAAAATTTTGTATTGCCTCCACAATAAATATACTTTTAACAGTGTTAAACTTGCATTTAAAAAAATATTATGTTGAAAATAATTTATACAACTAAAGATTTCTTGTTTTGACACGTTAAAGTATGTCGCTAAGAAATAATTACATTTGAATTAAATTTTTTTTTTGCAAACAATAATTCATTAGCCCAACCTGGCAATTAGAAATAATAATTATTAGTGTAGCCCTGTATAAGTCTAAAATTTCTTTCTTAATGGTCTTAAAAGTGTCTTAAAAAGTCTTAAATTTGACTTGACGAAAACCTGCAGAAACCCTGTAATATTTTTTCTAATATTTTTTCCCTGTTGGTTAAAGTGGAATTATTATGCCCCTTTTTGCAAGATGTAAAGTAAATCTCTGAAGTCTCTAGAGTGTGTTTGTGAAGTTTCCTCTCAAAATACCCAACAAATAATTTTTTATAATTCTTTGAAACGGCCCCTTTTAGGTCTTGAATCAAATTGTGTTGTTTTGGTGACTGACACTTTAAATTTAAATGAGATTATGCTCCTTTTAAACTAGGGTGAATCTACAAATGTCTATGCTTTAGCACAGCAGCAGCTTCAAAAACAAGACTAAAGTTATTTCTGTAAAAAAAGTGAACATGTTAAAAGAAGGTGCCTCAGACGAAAGTAGCCTGTGGAAACTACAGTATTCATTTGTGCATTTTAAAACTCCACATTTATAATGCTGCCCCTTAGTCTCTGACTTTCTTCAGCATGTACAGTGCAAAAACTAATGATGGATGGCTGCTTCTCACTCAGGGCTGTTTATGCTAATCAGGGACAGATAATCTCGAATGGGTGGGATTTTCCTCCTTTAATAACATGTATAAAAGGAGAATGTCAATCAAAGTGTTTCTGTAGATTGTTTTTATTGAAGTGTGATTATAAAAAATAGAATGAATAATGTTTTACCATCAGAGGCTGGCTATATTCACACACATAATCTCTTTGTACTAGCACAAATGACCACTAAAAGGTATTGCTTGATAGTTCATGTTGGCTAATGGACTATCTGTTATTAACAAAAGGAAAGTATTAAGTCCTTTTTTCAGTACAATATTTTAATAGTAGTGTCCATATTGAGCAGTATTAGCAGCATTACTACAGTATAACCAAGTCAAAGAGTATACCCTATGTTTTGTATATTACAGACTAACTTGGAGAACTGTTTGTTATTGATGTGTCAAATCTTAATTTATTTTTCCCCTGCAAAACCATGTTGTTTCTTATGATAGCATGGGCGGCAACTACTTCATCCTTTCACTTGAAGATAATGGTCTTGTTTACATAATTCAATCTTCCCTCTCCCCGTGTGGATGCCTGTGTGGGCAAGATGTTTGTTTACTGCCATTTCCTGCTGCTCGACAAGCATTTAGAAGAATGTTGGGCTTGTTCCACATATCTCTCCAGATCTAAGTAATAGCTGACCCCCTGATTCACTGCTGCATTGCTTATTTCCCAAATGAAGACTAGACTAGGCACACACTGATGTTTGTCCTGTAAAGACTTCTGAATCTGCAGGTAGGATTTTTAGTGATACAGGCATAATTCCCTCCCTAAATCAAGTTCACAATGCTGATCACTGTGGGCTTTTTGTGTTTCACAGCAACAAAATTGGTTCATTGTAGACATAAATGAAAAAGTACGCCTATGTTGACGTTAGGAGAAGAGCAGATTCAATTGAGATACACTCCATGCATTACTATACTCTTAAGTGAACACTTCACCCCAAAAATAACAAAAATAGTTTTTATACGATGCAACGGCTCTATCCAAAAGCTTTAAAATGCTTGTTTGGAGGCAATATTCCATTGAAGGAGGCATCAAGGCACATCCAATCCCAAATTCTGCTTTACTTCCTGTCCCCAGAGTTACTTCTGATCAGATTTAAAAGGCAGCATAGATGTGTCCTTTGATATCCCACTCGACATTCCATAATCCTGCTTTTTCCGTTTCTGACAGTTGAGATATAAAATAAAATTGGCTTTTTCAAGTGGTGCTTACAGTAGGTAAAGGTTTTTGACCATTGTTTTCCATTTCTTTTCTTTTTCTTTTTTTTATTATTTTGAAACCCCACTTGGGTATTAATTTGTATATTTTATTTCGATATATATATATATATATATATATATATATATATATATATATACATATATATATATATATATGTATGTATATATATATATACAGTTGAAGTCAGAATTATTAGCCCCCCTGAATTATTAGCGCCCCTGTTTATTTTTTTCTAAAAATTCTGTTCTGTTCTGGGAAGATTGTTTCAGCACATTTCTAAGCATAATAGTTTTAAAAACTTATTTCTAATAACTGATTTATTTAATCTTTTCCATGATGACAGTAAATAATATTTTACTAGATATTTTTCAAGACACTTCTATACAGCTTAAAGTGACATTAAAAGGCTTAACTAGGTTAATAAAGTGAACTAGGCAGGTTAGGGTAATTAGGCAAGTTATTCTATAACGATGGTTTGTTCTGTAGATTATCTAAAAAAAAATTAGCTTAAAGGGGCTAATAATTTTGTCCCGAAAATGTTTTTAAAAAATTAATAACTGATTTTATTCTAGCCGAAATAGAACAAATAAGACTTTCTCCAGAAGAAAAAATATTATCAGACATGCTGTGAAAATTTCATTGCTCTGTTAAACATCATTTGGGAAATATTTAAAAAAGAAAATCAAAATCAAAAGGGGGCTAATAATTCTGACTTCAACTGTATATGTATATATATATATATGTATATATATGTGTGTATATATATATATATATATATATATATACATTTTGATACACAAAATTTCTACTTCTTTCTGTGTTAAAAAAATTGTTGTTGAATAAAGTTTTGAATGTTTATACCTAAACATGTTTTTTGGGCACACTTTACAGTTTCATTAGATAATGTTAATGTATTTACTGACATGAACTACTGTAACTATGAGCAATACTTACATTTAATAATAACAATAATTTACAGCATTTAATAATCGTAGTTGAACATTTACGAATGCATTGTTAACATCCAAACTCATGCATGCTAACATTACTGTGAGTTAACAATAACTATAGCAATTAACTAAAAGAACCTTATTGTATAGTCATATCATTTTTTAATGTGTGATAAATATTAATAGGTTATACATTTAAAATGATTACTTACAGCAAGAAGGTTTGAGTCCCGCCTGGGCTATTTGACATTTCTGTGTAGAATCTACATGT